TATTCAGTAAATCCTGGTTGTTGGGGCACGTTTAAACCCCCTTTTGTCTTTCGGGGGTATTATCCGGGTTTTTTGTGGACACTATTTTAACCACCCCTTAAAATCAGTATTAATCCGGGTTTGGGTTGGGACCGGGTTAAACCCACTCTGTTCTTTTCAGTATTAACCGTTTAATTGTAGACCTTTAAAACCCCCTCTGTTTTTTCCTTTATTAACCCGGTTTGGGGTTTGTGGACCCTATTAACCAAAATTCTTTTATTATCAGTATTAACCCGGTTTTTTGGGGTAGAACCACTATTTTTATCCCCTTTTTAATTCCCTTTTTCCATAAAACTTTTTATTAATTCCGGGTTTTGGGAAAAGCCCTAGTTAACCCCCGGGTTATATCATTTTAATCCGGGTTTTGTTTTTTGGACACTTTTTAACCACTTTTTTTCTACGTTTTCCCCGGGTTTTTGTGGACCTATTTAAACCACTCTGTTCTTCATATTAATCCGGGTTTTTTGTTTAAGACACAAATTTTTAAAACCACTCTGTAAAAATCATTTTAAATCCTTTTTTTTTGGGTTTGTGGCCCAATTTAAACCACTTTTTTTAACTTCGGGTTTAATCCGGGTTTTTTGGAAAAAAACTTTTAACCACTCTGTTTTATTTCAGTTTTAAACCCTTTGGTTGTTGTGGACACATTTAAACCCACTCTGTTTTTCAGTATTATCCGGGTTTGTTGGGGGCCCAACTAGTTCCCCACCCCTGTTTATAAATTTTAAATTCCTGGTTGTTTTTGACACTAGTTAACCACTCTTTTTTAATAAAGTTTTAACCCTGGTTTTTTGGGAAAAATTTAGTTAACCACCTGTTTATCATCTTAATCCTGGTTGTTTTTAACCTATTAACCACTCTTTTAATAAAAGTTTTAAATCCGGGTTTTTGTGGCCACTTTAAACCCAAAATTCTGTTTTTCGGTATTAATCCTGGTTTTTGTGACACTAGTTAACCACTCTGTTCTATCAGTATTAATCCGGGTTTGTTGTGAAAAACTGGGTAAACCAAATTTCTTTACATCATTATTAATCCGGGGGTTAATTTTGACACTAGTTAACCACTCTTTTATATCATTTTAAAACCCGGGGTTGGTTTTTGGGACCCCTATTTTCCCACTCTTTTCTACCCAGTAAACCGGGTTTTGTGGACACTATTTAAAACCATCTGTCCCTTCAGTTTTAAATCCTGGTTGTTGGGGGACCTATTAAACCCCCTCTGTTATATAAATTTTTAATCCTGGTTTTTTTGTGGACACGGGGTTTTAACCCTCTTTCATCAGTTTTAATCCTTTTTTGTGGCCCACTAGTTAACCATTTCTTTACAATCAGTATTAATCCTGGTTTTTGTGGCCACTGTTAACCACTCGTACAATCATTATTAACCCCTGGTTTTTTGGGTGGGACACTATTTAAACCACTCTGTTCTTCATTTATTAATCCTGTTTGTTTGGACCCCTATTTAAACCCGGGGGTTACACCCAGAAAAAATTAATCCCTGGTTGTTTTTAACACTATTTAAACCCAAAACTTTTGGTACTATCAGTATTAATCCTTTTTGTTTGGGGACACTTTTAAAACCACTCTGTTTCTATCATTTTAAAACCCGGTTTTTAGACACTAGTTAACCACTCTTTACTATCAGTTTTAAACCCCCGGGTTTTGTGGGACCTATTTAAACCATTTTCTTTTCTACATTTTAAAATCCTTGGTTGTTTTAAAAACACAGTTAACCACTCTGTCAAATCAGTATTATCCGGGTTTTGGGTTGTAACCAGTTAAAACCACTCTGTACTATCATTTTTAAACCCCGGGTTTTTGGGGTGGACACTATTTTAACCACCCCTTTTCTTCTAAATTAAACCCCTGGTTGTTGTGGACATTTAACCACTCTTTCTATCGGGGTTTTAAACCGGTTGTTGTGGACACTAGTTCCCCACCCCTTTTATCATATTAACCCGGGGTTTGTTTTGGCACTATTTAAAACCACTCTGTTCTATCGGGTTTTAACCCCCGGGTTTTGTGAAAATTTTTTTAAAACCACCCCTGTTTTATCATATTAACCCTTTTTTGGGTTTGTGGACACTAGTTAAACCACCCCGGTATATCAGTATTTAACCCTTTGTTTTGTGGACACAATTTTAACCCCCTTCTGTTCATCATTATTAATTTTTTTAATTTTTAGACACTATTTAACCACCTTTTTAACAAAATTTTTTTTTAATTTGTTTTTCCTTTTTGGGTTTTTTGGGGAAACTATTTAACCACCCTTTTCCTATCATATTAACCGGGTTTTGTAGAAAACTATTTTACCAAAATCGGGTTCTACCCTTTTAAATTTCCGGGGTTTTGTGGACACTATTTAAACCACTTTTTTATATCGTATTAATCCGGTTTGTTGTGGCCACAGTTTAACCCACTCTGTTCTATAAGTTTTTAAACCTGGTTGTTGGGGCCTGGGGGTTAACCATCTTTTCCCTTCAGAAATTATCCTGGTTTTTTTTGGAAAAAATTTTTTTTAACCCTCTGTTTTAATCATATTAATCCTGGTTTTTTGTGGACCTGTTAACCACTTTTTTATATCGGGTATTAATCCGGGTTTGGGTTTGTGGCCACTATTAACCCTCTGTTTAAATCATTTTATTAATCCTGGTTTTTTGTGGACACTATTTAAAACCCCCTCTTTTTAAAACCCTTTTACCCCGGGGTTTGTTGGGACACAGAAAAAGCCCCTTGTTTTTCAGTTTAATCCTGGTTGTTTGTGGACCTATTAAACCACTCTTTATACCCCAGAAATTAAAAATCCTGGTTGTTTTTAAACCCTTTTTTAAAACCACTCTGTTACCCAGTTTTAAATTCCGGGTTTTGGGTTGACCTAGTTAACCCAACTCTTAATAAATAAAATCCTGGTTGTTTGGAAAATTTTTTAAAACCACTGTTCTATATTTATTAACCCGGGTTTGTTGGGGGACATTTTTTTAAACCACTCTTACTATCAGTATTAATCCGGGTTGGGTTGTGGACCCATTTTAACCACTCGGTTTTTCAGTAAATCCTGTTTTGTGGACACTTTTTAAACCCCACTCTGGGACCAAATCGTATTTTCCGGGTTTTGTAACACAGTTAACCCACTCTTTTTTCTATCAGTTTTAATCCTGGTTTTTGTACACTAGTTAACCCCCTCTTTTCATCAGTTTTAAATCCGGGTTTTTTGGGGAAAACTATTTAACCTCTGTTTAATAGTATTAATCCTTTTTTTTGTGGACATATTTACCCCTCGTACTACCCAGTTTTAAATCCGGGTTTTGTGGCCCCACTATTTTAACCACTCTTTTCTATCATTTTAAATCCTGGTTTTTTGGACACTATTTTAACCACTCTTTTCTATCATTTAAACCCTTTGGTTTTGTGGAAATTTTTTTAAAACCACTTTTTTCAAATAATTTATTATCCGGGTTTGGGTTGGGACCTATTCCCCTCTGTTTTTCGAAAATTAAATCCGGGTTGTTGTGGACACAAATTTAAACCACTCTTTTTCTACCCGTTTTAAATCCGGGTTTGTTTGCACTATTTAAACCACTTCTTTTATTATCATTATTTCCTGGTTTTTGGGGAAACACTATTTAAACCCCAACTCGGGTTTTTTCCCGTATTACCCTGGTTGTTGTGGACACCTTTTTTAAAACCCTCTGTTTATCAGTATTAATCCGGGTTTTGTTTTGGACACATTTTTAACCACTCGGGTTTCAAATCAATTACCCCCTGGTTTTGGGGGGACCCTTTTAAACCCACTTGTTTATCTTTATTAACCCGGGTTGGGGTTGTGGACACTAGTTAACCCCTTTTGTACTATCGAAATTAAACCCCTTTGGGTTTGTGTTTACACAAATTTAAAAACCCCTCTGTTTATCAGTTTTAAACCGGGTTTGTTGTGGAACAATTAAACCCACTCGGGTACTATCAGAAATTACTCCTGGTTGGGGTAGACACTAGTTAACCATTTTTTTTCTATCAGTATTAATCCGGTTTTGTTGGGACCAGTTAACCACTCCGGGTCCTATCAGTTTTAAATCCTGGTTGTTGTTAACCCTTTTTCCCACTCTTTTCATCAGTTTTAAATCCGGGTTTTTTGGGGACCCTATTTAACCCTCTTTTACATCGTTTTTAACCCTTTGGGGTTTTTGGTAGACATTTTTTTAAAACCCCTCTGTTTCTAATCCTTTTTCCCCTTGTTTTTTTGGTGGCCCAACCTATTTAAACCCCCGGGGGGTTTTTGGACAAATCAGTTTTAAAATCCGGGTTATGGGGGTGGAGACACTAGTTACCCACCTGTACATCAGTTTTAAACCTGGTTGTTTTTTGGACCCCAATTTTTTAACACATTTCTGTCTACCCGTATTAACCGGGGGTTGTTGTAAAACACTATTTAACCACTTCTTTTTCTATTCAGTTTTTAACCTGGTTTGTTGGGGAACACTAGTTAACCACTCTTTTTTTAAAATCGTATTCCTCCTGGTTGTTTTAGACCTAGTTTAACCACTCTTTTCTATATTTTAATCCTGGTTTTGTGGCCCTTTTTAACCACTCTTTATTATCAGTTTTAAACCGGGTTTTGTTGTGGACACTATTAACCCCTCTTTTTAAACAGTTTTTAATCCTGGTTTTTTTGGCCCACTTTTTAACACTCTGTTTTTCCCTATTAATCCGGGTTTTTTTTGACACGGGGTTTAACCACTCTTTCTATCAGTTTTTAAATCCTGGTTTTGGGGGGGGGACACAAATTTAAACCACCCCTTTTTCATATTAACCTGGTTTTTGGGGGGCCACTATTTAAACCCACCTTTTCGTCAAAAAAATTAATTCCGGATTGTTGTACCTTTTTAAACCCCACTTTTTTGTTTTTTAATTCTTTTAAATCCTGGTTTTTTTTTTGGGAAAAAAAAAAAAATATTTCCACTCTTGATGGGGAAACCGGGTTTGGTTGGGCCACCTGTTCCCTCGGGTTTTGTCATTATTCAACCTGGTTGGTGGCCCATTCCCATCTGTTTGGGGTTCAAATATTCCCAATTTTGCAAAATACCTTTTTAGTCCACTGCTTTGACTTTTAATTTTTTCCCAAATGGCCCCCCTTCCCCTGGGGAAAGGGTTTTTGGGGGAGGTTCACCCCTTAAAAACGGTTCCATTCACAAGCCTTTCTCCTTTTTTATATTGCCCCCTTCATTACCCCCCTTAAAAATTTTGGGAAAAGAGGGTCCCCGGGGTTTCCGGGACAAAAATTAGTAAATTGGGCCTATTTTAATTGGTCCCACAAGGACCAAAATGGGGTTTTTCTGACAAAAGTAGGCTTATTTAGGTTTAGGAAAGATTTGGGGCGCAGGCCGGGTTTTCCCAAAACTTTGGGGTTATCCTCTTGTTTTTTCCCCTCATTCAATAATTTCCCAATTAAATTACCCCCCCTTTTGCCCCCCCTTTTTAACCGCCCCGGGCCCCTTTTGGGCCCCCTTTTTTGGTTCCCCTTTTTTTGGGTCCTCTGGGCCCCTCCCTCCTTTGTTTCCGCCCCTCTTTTAATTTTTCCCCAAAAAAGGGGGCCCCTGTCTCCCCTGCTCTTTGGGTACTCCCCCCTCCTCCCCCTCCCCCTTTCCCCCTCTCCCCCCCTCCCCCTTCCCCCCTTCTCCTCCCCCCCCTCCCTCCCCCCCCCCTCCCTTTCCCCCCTCCCCCTCTCTCCCTCCCCCCTCCCCTCCCCCCTCCCCCCTCCCCCCCCCTCCCCCTCCCTCCCCCCCCTTTTTTCCCCCCCTTCCCCCCCCCCTTTCCCTTTCCCCCTTTTTTTTCCCCCCCAAAACCCCCCTTCCCCTCCTTCTCCCCCCCCTCTCCCTCCCCCCCTCCCCATTCCCCCTTTTTTCCCCCTCCCCCTCTTTTCCCCCTTCCCCCCCCCTCTCCCCCTCTCCCCCCCTCTCTCCCTCCCTCCCCCTTTTCCCCCCTCCTCCCCCCCCTCCCCCCGTCCCCCCCCCCTTTTCCCCCTCTCTCTTTTCTCCCCCTCCCCTTCTTCCCCCCCTCCTCCTCCTTTTCCCCCCTTTTCTCTCCCCTTTTTCCCCCTTTTCCCCTCCCCCCACCCCCTTCCCCCTCCCCCCCTCCCTCCCCCTCCCCCCCCCTTTCCCTCCCCCCCTCTTTTTCCCCTCTCTCCCCCCTCCCTCCCCCTCCCCTCTCCCATCCCCCCCCCTCGTTTCCTCCCCCCCCTCCCCTTTTCCCCCTTTTCCTCCCCCTCCCCTCTCCTTCTCCCTTCCCCCCCTCCCATTCTCCTCCCTTTCCCCCCTTCTCCCTTTCCCCCCCTTCCTCTTTCCCCCTTCTTTTCCCCCTTCTTCCCAAACCCCCCCCTCTCCCCCCCTCTCCTCCCTCCCCCCTTTCCCCCTCTCTTCCCCCCCTTTCCCCCCTTTTCCCTCTCCCCTCCCCCCCCCCTTCTCTTCCTTTTCTCCCCCTTCCCCCCCTTTCTCTCCTCTCCCCCCTCTTCTCTCTCCCCCTCCCCCTCTCTTCCCCTCCCCCCCTTTCCTCCCCCCTCCCCCTTTTCCTCCTCCTTCCCTCCCCTCCCCCCCCCCTTTTCCCTCCCTCTCCCTCCCCCCAAAGGATGGGGAAAAGGGTAGCCTTTTTCTACAGGGATAACATCCGGCTGTTGGACTTTTCAACCTGGTCTTAAACCAAACTTTTACGCCCTGGTGAGGCCCCCCACAAAGGGAGGATACCGGGTTTTCGGGTCGGGGGAAGGAAAAACACATTTATTTAGTTCTTCACACTTTTAAAAAATTTAAGTAGGCATTGGGGGGTGTGTGTCTCTGTCTGTTTTTCTAGATTTTATATAAACTGTCCCCTTTCCCTTGTTTTTTTGATCCATAGAGATTTTTTTTAAGGGCCCGCACGTTTGTCTGCCCCCTTTGTGGCGTCTGTGAGACCCACAGGTAAAAACCTTTGACCATTTTCCATTTTAAAGTAGCCCAAATTTTCTTCTTCAAACTACGGGGATGATTGGGTTTAAACAAACTGAAAGGGTGTGAACTCAACAAGATCCCCCGTCGATTTTTCATCCCCCCAACCCCTTGTAAACCTGACATTTTTTTTGAAAAATGTTTTAAAAAATTGGGCACACGAAACAACGCCAGGGTTTAAGTTGGGCATTAAATTCCGACGGGTTAAGTTAATTTTTAAAGGTTTTGGGGTAGGGTTCAAACTGAAAAAAAAGCCCCGGTTAATTTTTGGGCATTTTTTTTCCGACGGGTTTTAATTTTTAAGGGGTTTAAAGGGTTTTGGGGGTTAGGGTTTCAAACTAAAAACCCATGCCACGGTTAATTGGGGCTTAATTTCCCCGGGTTTAAAGTTAGGTTAATTTTTGGGGGAAAGGTTTTCAAACTGAAAAAAACCGCCACTTTTAAATTTGGGCATTAATTCCGACTGGTTATTTAAAGGGGTTTAAAAGGTTTGGGGTTTTTTTCAAACGGAAAAAAAACGCCACGGTTATTTTGGGCAAAAAGCCCCCTGGTTTTTTTAAAGGGGTTTAAGGGGTTTGGGGTAGGGTTCAAAAACTGAAAAAAACGCCCCTTTAATTTTGGGGCATTAATTCCGACGGTTGGTTATTGGGTTAAAGGTTTGGGGGGGTGGGGTTTCCCAAACTGAAAAAAAACCCCAAACCGGTTTAAAGTTTGGGCTTTAAATTTCCCCGCCGGGTTTAATTTAAAAGGTTTTAAAGGTTTGGGGGGTGGGGTTTTAAAACTAAAAACAAAGGCCACGGTTAAGTTGGGTTTAAATTCCGACTTTTTAATTTAAAGGGGTTTAAAGGTTGGGGGAAATTTTTGGGGGGTTCAAACTGAAAACAACCCAGGGTTTAATTTTGGGCTTTAAATTTTCCGAGGGTTAAGTTGGGGTTTTGGTTTGGGGTAGGGTTAAAACCGGAAAAAAACCCCCCCTTTAATTTGGGGGGGGGGGGGGGCTTTAAATTTCCGACTGTTTAATTTAAAGGGGTTAATTTGGGGGGTTTAGGGTTAAAACGGGAAAAAAACGCCGGGGGTTAATTTTGGGCTTTAAATTCCGATGGTTAATTTTAAGGGTTGGGTTTTAATAATTCCGACTGGTTAAGTTCAGGGTTAAGGTTTGGGGTGGGTCAAACGACAACAAACGCCAAACCGGTTAAGTTTGGCTTAATAATTCCTGACTTGTGTTAGTTTAAGGGTTTAAAGGTTTGGGGTAGGGTGTTCAAACGAAAACAACGCCCACGTTTAAGTTTGGGCATTAATTCCGACTGGTTAAGTTAAGGGTTAAGGTTTGGGGTAGGTTCAAATGAAACACGCACGTAAGTTTGGCATTCATTCCACTGTTAAGTTAAGGTTAAGTTTGGGTAGGGTTCAAACTGAAAGCAACGCCACGGTTAAGTTTGGGCATTAATTCCGACTGGTTAAGTTAAGGGTTAAGGTTTGGGGTAGGGTTCAAACTGAAAACAACGCCACGGTTAAGTTTGGGCATTCATTCCGACTGGTTAAGTTAAGGGTTAAGGTTTGGGGTAGGGTTCAAACTGAAAACAACGCCACGGTTAAGTTTGGGCGTGCTAAATCTTTGTAGACAGATGGCAGAGGGGTCTAAGCTGTGAGGTCCCGCTCCGTACGGCGCAGGTTCAATCTCAGTGCTCTCGGTACTTGTTTGTAGTTTTTTTTTTTTTAGCTTTGCCTCTAGTGGCCAGTTTTGACGGTGTCTCCCAATGTCCTGGGGACCTGCACAAACGTTGAATTTCACCTTGGATCTGGAGTGATTCCTCTGGCATACTGCCCCCTGGAGTGTGTTGTTTGAACAGGTATAAAGTCAAGGTTGGTGATTTACTGCCACCTGCGGTTATGGGAATGTTTACTCATAAGTATAATTAATTGGCTGATCCCTCCTGATGACCTGGATGGACTTATGAGATCCTTTCTTAACACATAGGAAGTCCCACCCAGTTGACTAATTAAAAATGGTGAAAGTCCTCAATGGAGCTGCCCATGTTAAAACAGGCTTTTGGGCACTACAGTCCTCTATCATTCTCTATGATGTCTGTCTACGTGTTTGTCTCTGTAGATCTGCTAGCCCATGAGGAGGCAGAGCCTGTCTGTCTGTCTGTCTGTCTGTCTGTCTGTCTGTCTGTCTGTCTGTCTGTCTGTCTGTCTGTCTGTCTGTGTCTCCTAACCCTCTGTGTGTCTCTGTTGATCTGCTGGCCCATGATGAGGCAGAGCCTGTCTGTCTGTCTGTCTGTGTCTCCTAACCCTCTGTGTGTCTCTGTAGATCTGCTGGCCCATGATGAGGCAGAGCGTCTGAACGACGTTAAGTTCCTGGTTCAGCAGCTCTACACCACCCTGCGTATAGAAGAACATCAGCTGAGCAAAGAGAAGGAACTGGTCGTCAGACTGGAGGACCTCAACTCACAGCTACGCCCACTGGAGAAGGTACACAGAAAGGGATTTATTGGAATTAAATACATTTGTAAATATCACTTTTTTCTGTCTTCTGATGGGCTTTAGTTGCTGTGTTTAGGATTCCATTCACTGCACGGTTAATGTTTAGCATTGGTGGATAGAAAAGGGTCAACACAAGTGTATTCATTCCCATTGGGAGTGTTCATTCACAAATCAATGGATGGTAGTGATATATAATAATATATGCATTTTAGCAGATTATTTTGCGTGGATAAATGTTTTACGTATGGGTGGCCCCGGGAATCAAACCCACTATCCCTGTGTTGTAAGCACCATTCTCTAACAACCGAGCTACGGCGGACCGCTGGTGTAAGTGCCCTTATTGACTGATGCCTGTCTCCGATTGGCTGTCCGTCCCAAGGTGAGGGAGGAGCTGAGTCGTAAGGCGGAGCGTCGTACCACCTGGGTGCTGTGGGGGGGCGTGGCCTACATGGCAACCCAGTTTGGGATCCTGGCACGCCTCACCTGGTGGGAGTACTCCTGGGACATCATGGAGCCTGTCACCTACTTCATTACCTACGCTACCGCCATGGCCATGTACTCGTACTACGTACTCACACGCCAGGTAACACACCCTCTGTAGCACACACAGTAAATCCAGGTAGATAGGCTGTTACACGGCCAGCCTGTGTGTTGAGGCTAAGCAATAGTCTGTGTGTATATATAGTAGCGGTTTTTTTGAGCAGGTTCATTCATGTTTGGTTCATTCATGTTTGTGTCCTCTTTCCCTGTAGGGGAATGTATACAGTATTATTCCCTAGGAGTAGTTGTAGCATTCTGGAGTAGGTCTGTTTGTGTGTTGTGTTATTGTGATAGAATGTCCCCCTCCCCCCCCCGTCCTGTAGGAGTACATCTACCCTGACGCCAGGGACCGACAGTACCTGCTGTTCTTCCACAAGGGGGTGAAGAGACAACGCTTTGACATCCACAAGTACAACGAGCTGAAGGACTCTATCGCTGAGGTAGGCACTATGCAGGCAGGAACAGATGCGGGCTGGGATGCTAGCACGCACGCACGCACACACACACACAAACAAACGCGCACACACACACACACACACACACAGGCATGCACACATTAACACGTGTACACAAAATGTACTTTATGGTTTCATCATCTGGATTGAAACATTGAACAAATGTAGAAGGAATTCACAGATTCCTCATTATTCTCTCTCTCTTTAATTCTGTTTCTTTCTCTCTCTCTCCCCCTCCTCTCCCCAGGTGGAGTTAGATCTCAAGCGTCTGAGGGACCCCCTCCAGCTCCAACTCCCTGTCCAGCAACTCACCGCCGCCAGCAAAGATTGATGGGAAGAGATATATCCTCCTCTGCCTCCTTCATCCCTCCCTCCCTCCTCCGCTCTCCTCCTCTCCCTCCTCCTCTCTCTCCCCCTCCTCCTCTCTCTCCCCCTCTCCCTCCTCCTCTCTCCCCCTCTCCCTCCTCCTCTCTCCCCCTCCTCCTCTCTCCCCCTCTCCCCCTCTCCCTCCTCCTCTCCCCCCCTCTCCCTCCTACTCTCTCCCCCTCCCTCCTCCTCTCTCCCCCTCTCCCCCTCTCCCTCCTCCTCTCTCCCCCTCTCCCTCCTCCTCTCTCCCCCTCCTCCCTCCCCCTCTCCCTCTCTCCCCCCTCTCCCTCCTCCTCTCTCCTCCCCCTCTCCCTCCCCTCCCCCTCCCCCTCCTCCTCTCTCCCTCCTCCGCTCTCCTCCTCTCCCTCCGTCCACCTTTGCTGCTCTTTCTGTTGAACTCCCTCTCCATCTTTGACAAACCCTTCCCTTTAGCGACCGACCGTGGGAGTTTTTCTTTTGACATTTTCTCCTTTTTTAATTTCTCTGACTGAAAACTCAGATTATAAAGTAAAACCATCTGTAGAGGAGTTTTAGAAAGAACAGAAACTGAATCCAATGTGTGTCTGAGGGTGGAGATTCTAATGATAATGAAACTGGGTGCTATGGAAATGCCACAGGACTTCAGAACAGAGGGACAGCCTGCAGGAAGCTCTAGGGGACGTACAAGAAGTGACACGCTGCAGTGTGAGGAGCTACATCTGAGGCGGAGGGGACGGAGGCAGACAAATGGACACATCTATGAGTGTGTGTGTGTGGTGATATCCGGGGGACACCAACGGTTGCTATATCTATGGGCTAGCTAGGCCCGCGGTGCAGCATGGTTTGGCTGTGAAGCTGGAGCATCCTGTGGGGCCTCGGGACGTCACGTTTACAAAGATTCATCCTCTAGTTGAGAACCTCTTGCTCCACCCTCTTAACCTCAGCCCTCTCACCTCTGCATGCACAGAGGACATGGCTGTGATTGGATAAGGGTTCCTGTGACCTCCAGGTGTCCGTGAACTTCGACCTTGGCCGACCCCCCCTCCCCTCTTGTCTCGTCTGATTGGCTGTGGCCAACCCTGCCCCCTCTGTTTCCAGTTCCCGCCCTCTCTGCCTGACGGACAGCTACCCACAGAGCATATTGCTATGACGACAAGGACCTTTTATCAGGAGCCTTTCAGCTTGTCACAGCCTTTACAGGAAGTGGACAGACTGAGTTGAGGTCAGGTGACCACGCCTCACTTCCTATTCCTGTTGTTGACTTCCTGTCAACTTCCTGTTTCCTGTAACATGCTGCGCCGGGATTGGAGAATAGTACTTCCGATAACAACATCACTGTGTGTTCTATCTATTATTTTAGAAGCCATGCTATATTTGTTATGAAAAATAATATACTACAATATACAATCAATCACAATGGAATTAGAAGAGCTTTAGATTTTTTTCAGTGGGGGGAGGATCTCTCTTTTTAGCATTCTATATCAGTAATATGTTAATATACCATATCTGCATCTCTTTAGTAATGTCTCAGCAATACACTCCCTCTCTCACACACTGGTATCATTGTACTACCACCAATATAACCTACCAAGGCCCATATACATACATACATACATACATCATCCACAAACAAACACAAGCAGCGACGGAGTAGACGAGATCTTAGAAGGATTTCTGGCAGAGAGATTCTGTATATCTCCTCAGTGCCACTCACATATCCCACAATTCCTTCCAACTACACTATAACTCATATCAGCCAAGAGAACATTGTAGAACCCCTCACAAACAGCAACGATGTTCCCTGTAGAACAGCTGTGAATCGGCCCTGTACCATTTCTGAATATGCTCACCTTTCTACAGTAACTAACCTAATTGTGTGGATATAAAAAAAAGAGCCATAATATTATATATATATATGATATGATATGATATGTTGTACTGTGTGTGACAGTCAGATTCACCCAGGCATGCTGTAGATTGCAGGTTGTTGAATGAGGAATCTTCTCCGTCTGTGTGTGAGGTTTTGTAGGACATAATCTAAGCCAAGGAACATATTGGAGGAACAGGATTGGGTACATAATATAATAATAATAATAATAATACAGAGATCCATCTCATACACACACACACTCTCACACACGTAATAGTGATGTATTACCCTGCCTACTGCTGCTGCTGCTGTAAAAACAAAAAGCCATTTTCCAAAAGAAACAATTTCTCCTGAAAAATAGACTGAACCTTTGCAGGGAATGTCTCAGATCCGATGTGCATGATATTCATTGTGACGAGAACCAATAAGTATAATTGATTTGTTTCTAAAAACGGACATAACTTGGTCTTGGCTTCAGGCAGCATGCAGGCAGCATGCAACGCAATGCATATTTCAATGCAAGATAATATCAATGGTACGCATATGAACACGTCTGAGTGAACAGACTATGTCCAAATTATGAACAATTTTAGTTCTGGATTAGCCGCGGTTAAGGCCAATGGGTGTTTGTAAAATGTCTCATGTCGCCCTCTATATGTCCTATAACCGACTTACCATTCGATCACCTCAATGAAATAATCAATCAATCAATAACCTGTCATAACAAAACCGAAGCCTTCCAAGTTGAAATGGATCGATATGTCAGCTAAGTATATGTTCACAACGAACACACACAATACATCATAGCAAATAGTGCATAAAGAAATATCAACTGTTTCTGCAACAGTGTGCTTGCGGTTCATTCACACAAACAAGGCTGTTCCGTCCAGAGTTCTCTCCTCCCACTGTTCCTAGTAGCTGTTCCAAGTAACAGCCAGACAGGCAGCCAGGCAGGGTAGAGTACACGCATGCTATACTATGGTAGGATGTGAATGTGAAGTAGGAGTATTATTGACATGTTATTCCGTATGCTGTTATTGCTACCCTCGACACAAACGATCATACCCTGGTCCATTTTCTGCTGGTTGAGAAAACAAAAGCCATATCTATGTTATGGGGATTGGCTTGGGGGTAGACCTTTTCTGTTTATTCGAGGGGAGGGTCTGTCTGTCTGTTTTGGGGTGTGTGTGTGTGTGTGTGTGTGTGTGTGTGTGTGTGTGTGTGTGTGTGTGTGTGTGTGTAGGATTTCCAAGGAAAGTGGTGCCTTTGTCAGACATACTGTATAGAGCAGTAAGGGAAACATACGTAGATAGATATTTATATTCTCAGAGGAATGGAATCATCATATTGGAGGAGACCTTCATAGTCAAATGTCTTTGGTATGACGGAACCATCTGTACCATCAGTATAGTTCTATTCATGCTGAGTAAGCGATGTTCAGCAAAACTGGCCCTCTAGAATTTAATCAACAGCGATAGATTGAGGATGAGGTAAGCAAAACGTGTGTGAGTGAGAGAGAGAGCAAGAGAGAGACGTGTGTGTGTGTGTGTGTGAGAGAGAGGTGTGTGAGAGAGAGGTGTGTGTGTGTGAGAGAGAGAGCGAGGTGTGTGTCCGTGCGTGTAGTGTATCAGTGTGTGTATGTGAGAGAGAGAGAGAGAGAGAGAGCGAGGTGTGTGTCTGTGCGTGTGGTGTATCAGTGTGTGTGTGTGTGTGTGTGTACAGGAGGTAAAGAGCAGAGTGTGTGTGTGTGAGAGAGACGTGTGTGTGTGTGAGAGAGAGAGCGAGGTGTGTGTCCGTGTGTGTGTGTACTTACAGGAGGTAAAGAGCAGAGCAACACATCTATGAATCGTCTCCTTCTTAATCGCTCCAATTGATAAGTCTCCTCTCACCCCACCTTACCTCGATCACTAGCTGAAAATCTTTATTTTCCACAACTGCACACGTTAGCAGAGACAGACGCACAAACACACACACACACACACACACACAGAGAGAGACGAGCTGGGAACACCCAGACTCCTCTCCTGTTTTCCATCCCCCAGACTCCTCTCCTTAGGTGGTTTAATACCATCCACCTTTAACTACCTTTATTATTTTAAAAACCAAAATATATCAAATATAGGAACTTTATTATAAAGCGGGTGTTGCATGAATGTAATGTTTACATGGGAAATTATGTTGAAAATAAAGAAAAAATAAAAGATAATTTAATAAACATAAATATTGCAAAGATAGTTTTAAAAGAACGTTGTTTGTAGAGATTCCTAGTAATGGGCATGGGACAGGGCTATCTCTCTGTCGTTAGAATCTGCCAAATCTGGCTCCAACCCAGCCACTTAACCCCCCTCCTCCTGTCTCCTCCCCCATCTCTCCTTTTCTCCCCCTGTCTGTCCCTCTCCTCTCCCCTAGTGTAGATCTGCACCTAGTGTTCTGAGATGTAATAACAATTGAGGGTCGTGTTCATTAGGAAACGCAACTGAAAACTAGTCCCTCCCCTGTTTCAGTCCGTTTTCTTCAGTTTGGTGCCTAATGAACATGACCCGGGGCAGGTGGACCACCACCCCCCTGCCACCCCGTCACCATGCCACCTTGGCACCCCCCTGCCACCTTGCCGCCACCATGCCACCTCCCCTGCTACCCTGTCACCATGCCACCTCCCTGCCATCTTTGGTCCATCTAAGGAAGTGTCAAAGGTGTCCGCCATCTTGTGTGCAACCCTTGACCTGCTACCTGTAACCCCATCATCAGTCACTCCCGTCCCAGAGCAGAGACAAAATGGTGGCCTCTCTCACACACTCCCCACTTTACCTCTCACTCCCCTTACTCATCCGTTTTCCCCTTCTTTCTTACCTTTATTTTTTTCACTCTGTTCATCTTACCTTATCCTTTTTTCGTTCTCCCCAATCACATTTATTCAGTTTTGGAACGTGTGCGTTGTTGTTTTGAATTTTCATCCTATTTGTGTGCACTTAAAAAACTATTTAAAAAAATAAAAAAATAAAAGATGTTTAAAGATGCCTAAAGAAGAAGACTATTAGGATTGAAATGATCTGTTTTGTTTTTTCCATTCTGACCTCTTATTGTCTTCACCTTGTCTTCTTTTGATTGACATCGGA